TCCCCGCGCGGGCAGGGGGCGGAGTGGGCCAGGGGTGCTGGACGGGCCCCCAGTCCCTCGGAGCAGCGGGTGCGGAGGAGGGCGGGGCGCGCTTGGCGTCCTGCGGAGCCGCGGGCAGCGATTACCCGCCCTCTGTCCTCACGTGCCCCGAGCTCCTGGGGCTGAGCCCTCTTGGGACCCGCAGTGCACTGTGCACGTGAAGGGATTTCCTGGCGGGAGCCCTGGAGTTTGCTGGACTTGGTCTGCGCGACTACCAGGCCCTCAAATTGGTGGAGTGCAGGGGAGCTTTCCCCCCTTAATCACTGCGGTTGCCAACGCAACCCCCCCAACCCCTCCTAGTGGCAGAGCGCAGCGTCTTAAGCAGTGAAGGAGCGAATCATCATTGCTCCTAGCCTCGGAACTGAGGCCTCTGTCATCACTGCCCATAGACATTTAACAGTGTTTTGTCCCAACTTCTGTGACCTGCCCAAGAGGAGGCAGAAAGGCTGAGCAAGCGGAGTTTTTTGCTCCCGGACAGCAGCAGAGAAGGAGCCCCTAGGGTGGAGTCCGCAGCTACTGCCCACCCAATAAGGGGGAATGTGTCTTTTATATAGATCTAGGTTCACATTGCAAAGGGTGACTCATCGCTGTGCCCCCTGGTGCTAGGTCCAGTTCCTCCCACCAGTATCTCCCGGATGCTAGGCCCAGTTGACTATCAGTTGGTTATCCCCTTCACCTAGTCCCATATCAAGCTTGGATGATGCAAGGCTCAATTCTTTCCTTGTCAGTAAATCTTTGGTTCCCAACAAACAGCAGCTGCCTTTACAAAGGACTTTATTAAGAGCTGCTTTGGGGTGCTCTTAGGGCTTTGTGGAATCTCTGTCAACTGCAAAATAGGGCTTTTGGCATCTGCGTGTGGTATTTCAGCAAAAGCCCTGCGTTGGAGGTTGGAGGTTTGTGAACCGGTCCTTTACCCGCTGGCAGGAAGTCCACGTAAAGCGCAGAAATGCTCAGCAGAGCCTCAGACTGCTGAGAAAGTAGTTCTGGGACAGCCACTGCTGCAGGACAGTTTTCTGCAGGAACGACTAGAGGAGTTTGCCAGGGCCTCAGGTGTTCACGACTTCAGTTGTTTGTGACTATTTAGACATTAGGCCCAGCTTCGCTCAAGGGGGAGAAATAATTCATTTTTTCCCCTGTCTGTTAAAAAAAACACTTGCAGTCAGGAAGATAGCCTAGAAAAGCCGATGCGATGTCTTGTCTTTAGGAGGGTGAAGATAACTACACTAGAACTTGAATTGACGCCACTTCAAATATCAAAAATATTTGTGAATGTTATTAAGAGCATTTCACATAGCTAAAAGGAAAGTTTCTCCCCCAAACCAGAGAGGAAGTGAATTGTCAATACATCAGTGAAGTTAGAGGTTGCTTACAGCAACTTTGCTAGCAAAATGTTTTCTCCACGTAGTGCCAGGACAGCTGACCCTCCTGGTGTCACTGTAAGGTGTGAGCCCCCTTCTGCCCTTTCTCATCATAATTTGCTAGTCTGTTCCTGATGGCTGGCCCATTTGGGGAGGCAGTTGCTAGTGTGGCTACAAAGTCCATACAGCTCTGGGTCAGAGAAGGTGCTTCTCAGTAAATTAAAAGCACACATGTTTGCTACTGTTACTTGTAATTCCTAGTGGCTTCATAGTATGCCACTCTGATACTTAGCTTGCCCTTTAACTATTTATTACATATTTTTAATGCTGAGGGATAGGATCTTTCTTTTTTGGGTAACCACCATGTTTAATCAGTCATTTATGTATCCATTGAACGCTGGTTTCCACCCCCCACCCCAGCAATGGTTTGGATATTGGGGATGTGGACTCCTTGGCCCATTTCTCATACTTTTTTTTAGGTCCCAGGCTGCCCCCGACTTGTAAGCAAAACATAGCAGAGCAGTGCAGTAAATCTGGTTATCAGGTGTCTATTAGACATGGATGGCTCAGGGTGGGGAGGAGAGAAGGGATCCGTTCCACTGGGCTGAGTCATGGGAGTCTCCCTCACCCTGTATGTGAGGCTTTTATCCACTGCCCTCCTGTCCCTCATTACTGGAAATGTTCCAGCTGCCACCCTCTTCCCTGCCAGCCTAATGCCAGCCTTCTCAGTCCTGGCCCCATCCCTTTGGAAGCCCATTACACAGAAATCTCATTGACAGTTACAAGAAGTAAGAAGGGAGTGAACCCAGGAACTGTTCTAATTCCTGCCACCTCGCAACCTTAGGCCACACCCCACACCCATACCCCTTTACCTTGCTCCTGACACCCAGGTCATTCTCCATTTGCAACTCAGCCTGCTAAGCCGAAGCCCTGACACTTTCCTTTTCCTTTCTCATGAGTCTGAAAAACCTCTGGGTGTGTGCACGCAATCATACAGAAAACACGCATCTTCCACGTGTACAACTTGAGAGATCGCTGCAAAGTGAACACATCTCTGTGACCACCAACCTAGGTGCCATATCCCTCTTCCCCTGAGGAACCAGAGATTGGCTTTGCTGTTTGTACACCGTAAGAATAGCCATGGTTTTCGTGTCTCACGTCTCTTGAGGGATGTTGCTTTTGAGGCTGGACCCACATGAGTGTGCGCCTGACGTTCATTGGTTATCCTTGCCAGAACACTCTTATCTCTGTCTCTGTCTCATTTGATCCCTCCATTTGACTTTTGATTAGCCTGGTAGTTTCTAGTTTTTGCTGATTACAAATATGAAAAAATCTTTTTATACTTAAAGACCTGCCATTTTCACTGTTATTTTTCCTGCTATTGTCATTGGCAGGAGGGGCCCAGCGGTGGGTCAAGGAGCTGGCCCCGTGGATTTCTCATCTGTGACAGCATTGAGCACCTCCAGAAGCACTGAGGATTGTGCTTCATTCAGGTACCTGAAAGTAGAAGACAAAAGCCATGTGATGAATTCTGTCTTGGGTACACTGATTGGAAACTGGTCTTTGGAGTGTGTGGAAAAAAGCTATTGGGTGACGATGGGAAACCAGCCAGACTTGGAAGTGTCCCCTGTGGGGGTGGGGCAGGATGCCCACTTCTCTCCCAGGACCTGGTACCTGAGGGCTGGCTGCCAGCTTGACTGCATGAAGCAGCAGTTTCCTTGGAGGTTACCCGGCCTCCAGAGGCTGCTTCTCCTTTAGCACTACAACTTCCCCCCACCATGCATTTTACAGTTCTGATCATGAATACTTAATTTTATTTATCTAAGAGAAAAAAATGTTATACCGTACTATGAAGCAGCTTGTAAATAATTTCAAGGACATACTCCTGTTCCACTGATGTCCTACATCTGTTGTACTATATTGTTTGCTGTTTATTTATTTAATTTAAAAATTTTTATGTATATTTTTCACCTTTTTTTTGGTGTATGTGTGCAATGCTTGCCTTTTCTTTTTAGGTGTATTCCCCACAAAATTCCTGTCACCCTTTCACCCGTGCACCATCACCAAAGTTCCTTGTGTAAGAACACAGCCCCTCCCATTTTGATCTCTCCCTCCCCCTCCCTTGGAGATTGTCTCTGATTAATAGGTGCCTGTTATTTTTATTTTTTGATTTGTTATAATTACTTTTTTCCCGGTCCCTTGTTTGGTTTCCCTGCATTCCTCCTATGAGTGAAACTACCTGCTATTTTCTTTTCCCTTCTGGCTTATTTCACTGAGCATAATCCCCTCCGTCCATGTTGTTGCAAATGGCGTGAGTCTTTTTTGATTACTGAGTGGAAGCCCATTCTCTAACACTTCTGGAGCATGCCACTGGCTTTTGTAGCCTGGGGGACTGAAATTGTCTTTAAGGGAGTATTTGGGTCATTTGGCCTCATCGGAAGCAGTTCTAAGTCTGCAGGTGGTTGGAGGCATCCAAGGTCGAAGCAGGTTCTGGGACTTTCACTGCATTTCTTTCACTGCTCCACTTTCAAATCCTCTCAGCGTGGAAACAGACTTGAGTGATGGCCCCTCAGCCTCCTGTGGTTGCTGTCAGTCTATTTGTGACAAGTCAGTGAGTTGCCCCTCCTCCCTGCCCCCACCTCACCACTGTGCTGTGGGCTTTCCTGCCCTTCCTGGACCTTGATCACCTCCTTCCTGCTCTAGACAGAGACAAGCCCCTCCCTGCCCCAGCTCCTTCCTCTCTTGGTCATTCCTGCTTATCCTTTGTGGTTCAGCTTCAGGGCCACTTCCTGGAGACCTTCCCCTGCCTCAGCCTCAGCCTGTCTCAAAGCCCTTCCTTTCCACACAAAGTTCTTGGTCCTAAGAGGCACAGAAAGAAGCCTGTGGTTGCTTTCTTCTGTCAGCTTGCCGAGTACGTGATGCACATGTGTCTTTTAAATGGGTGAATTGAGGAGCACACCAAGGAGCCGAGACCGGCTGCAAGATTGTCTCGGCTTTATCACTTGCTTTGTGACCTGGGGTGCTTATTCATTTAACCTCTTCTAGAGCCCCATTTCCCACTCTGTAAAATAATGCATCTGACAAGCAGACCTTGTGGGTTCCTTTCAGTTTCAACTTTTGGAGTCTCAACAGCTAGAGGATCCTGTTTGGGGGGAGATGACTTCTTTGAAAATGCAAGATGGTTTTAGCATTGTGTCTAACCAGCCAGACAGACTTTTTGAGGTGACTAAATGAGAAAATAAAGATGTAAACACCCAAAACAAATATCAGGAGTGTTGTTTTTTTTCCTGCCATTTTATTCATTCATCAAAGATTCTGACTCAGTGAATCAGAAAAACCAGTCTTAGAGGGCACCATGTACTCTAGCAGTCCTCAGACTGTCTCTTACGAAGAGCTGTTCTTTTTTTTTTTTTAAGATTTATTTATTTGTGAATACAGATCTGGGGTACAGGCCAGAAGTGCAGGCACAGTGACAGGATTCACCAGAGACAGAGTGGGGAGCAGAACAGGAAGATCGAGGTACACAAGCAGCAGGCTGGTCAGAGGAGGTCTGGTGCTCCATGTGGGTCACCTCCGGGGCAGGCGGGGACCAGACTCATGCGGAACTGGCTTTAGCTTCTTAGTGCTGTGCTTTAACCTGCTGCGCCACCAGGGAGGGCCAGAGAAGAGCTGTTCTTAATGGTTGAGTAAAAGTTTGGGTGCCAAGGGGGAAGGCATTGATTGCCATTACTCACCATTCTGCCTTGCCCATCCAGTTCTAGGGGGTGCCCCAACATCATAGTACTTGTCTACAAAACACCCAGCATTGGGTACAGGACCTGCAAAGCCTCACACCGTGACCCTGTGGCAATTCAGGGAGGGGAGTATGTGCTTGATATGCAGGGTGTGCTTGGTCACTGGAGATCTTTCATTCCAGGGGAGCACGCTGGGTGGGAGGCAGGGAGCAGAGTCCTGAGGAAGCAGGCTTCAGACAGGAAGCAGAGAGAAGACATGGAAGGGTGCAAAATGTGGTCCGACCACACTGATGGTCACATGAGGGAGAAGCGAGAGAGTGTGGCTGCAGACTCTGAGGGGGTCACAGCCACTGGCAGGTGTGAGGCAGTGAGCGTGCTTGGCGAGCGGTCAGGGGCTGGGGTGGAGGGACAGTAGGAGTGCTCAGGAGGACCAGGACCAGCTGCTTGAGGAGGAGAGAACAAGAGCTGGTGACAACCTGCAGGCTCTGGGGAGGTGACCCAAGAGCCGAGGCAGGTCAGAAAGTGTGGGTGTACATGAAGTGGGAGAGCTTTCGTTAACTGGAACATGGGAAAGGCCATAGGGAGGACATCAAGGTGTAGGATCTGAAGACTTGACCTGGGGGCCGGGGAGGTGATCCTGGTCAAATGTAATCCAGGAGTCTGGATATGGAATCAGAAGATGGAGCCCTTGGAGAGGAGCAGTCCCTGTGAGGGCGGAAGGAGGCAGGGGCAGACCGGGTAATTGATGTACCTGGGAGCCGTGGGGAGTGTCACCTGCATCATCTAGAGAGAGGACCGAAGTGGCCTTGGTCTGCAGGCCGGAGACTGTGGCTCCAGCTAGGGTGGTTCTGGTGACAGGAGAACAGAAGACAGGTGGCTGTTAGTCTAGGAGAGCATGGAGGATGGGGACGTGAGGACTTCTAGACCAGCCGTTTGCTCCAGTAGGGAGCAGCAGGTCCAGGAAGCCCTTTCCATGCTCTGGGAACTGCGATGTGGGAGCCCTTCATTTCCTAGGCCCGCTGCTGCTCGCCACTGGCGTTTAAGGAGAGGGTCCTTTCTGGGCAAAGCATCCCTGGGCGACTTTGCCCTCGTGCCATACAGCATGTGCGTGGAAGCAGAACGAGCCGGTGGAGCCCGCTGCTCACCCAGGCTGCAGGTGCCACGGGGCCCTCGCTGGCCCTTGCCCTGCGATACCTGCGGTAGCTGGGGGAGGGGCCGCAGGGAAGCAGTGAGAGGCCGTGGCAGGAGCTGAGGGCTCACGCGGCAGGTGGTGAGCTGAGGAACAGATGGGGCATGAGGTCTCCATGCCAGTAACGCAGATGGCAATGGGGAGTGACAGGGAGGGGTGGGGTGGGGGGGTGCAGGGGTGGGGATGGGCGATGCTGTGGTCAGCAGTGATCCTGGTGTGACCAGGCAAGAAGGAAGCGCTGTTTCTCAGCGGGTTTGGAGTCAGACCAGGTGGAGGGGACATGGGAGCCGGGAAGCTTCTCTAAGCTGCTAGAGAAACATAATGTGATCATTTGGGGGAGCTCTTCATAGCTTTTTGTATAAAATTAGTATCAGTTCATGAAACAGTTTTTCTTTCTTGTTCTAGTGATGATCACAGTGCCTCCTCAGCAGAAAAAGGTACAGTCATACTAAGTCATTGAAAAGTTTAACCTGTCTATTTGTATTTTTCGACAATGTTTTCTCCATTTATTTATTGACTTAGTGGCTTTGTCAGATTTATGCCCTTGCAGACTTACAGAATAGCAATGTATCAACTAATCATTAGGTTGGGATGATGGGATAGTGACAAATTTTAAATTTTTCTTTGATATTCTTTGACAGCAGATTCACAGAAAAGTAAATTGTAAAGAATATGGGCCTTTGTAACCTTTTTTTTTTTTTTACAGTGTGAGAGTAGAAAATAAATGCTATCATATCTTACTTCTTTTAAGTACTAGGTCTAAGAGTTTCTAGTCATGGTTAGAATTCAGTATAGGCACGCCTTGGAGATATTTCTGGTTTGGCCCCACACCACTGAAATGAAGCAAATATCACAATAATGTAAGTCACACCAAGTTTTTGGGTTTCCAGTGCTATGGAGCGGTTTAGTCTATACCACGCTGTGGTGTATCTGCACCGTGTCTGAAACAGCAATGTCCACAGCTTAGTGAAGTGTGACATGGACGCCAAGTGAGTGCGTGCTGTGGAAGAACCACACCATCACACTTACTCACACAAGCTGGCCACAAACCTTCAACATGCAAAAAACGCATTATCTTTGAAGCACCAAAGAAGTGAAGCACAATCAAGTTTGCCTACAAATGTAAAGATGATAAGAGTATCCTCAATGGAGTTCTACAAACTCTGCATATGCACCATTTTCTTTAATACTGAAATGTTGTCAACTTTAGATACTTAATGTAAATAGCAACATATAATCCTTTTCCTCTCCCTCTTTTACCCCCCAAGCAACATATAATCCTAGCCCTGAAACTGGGCCAAATAAAAGCCTTCATTGAAGAAATAGGTCAGCTCTCGATCAGGGTTTGGTGTAGACTGCTGAGGGTTAAACGTCCCCTTGGGCCTTTGTTGTTTGTCACTGACACGTGTGTTCCCTGCTCCAACCCAATCTGCTGATGCCGCTCCGTGTGGCCCAGGGCTCCTCTGGAGGGTGGTTCTGGGGCCATTTTCACTTTAGGTGTTGACCTTGTCATGGCTTAGAAAGTCTTAGCTCATTGTCAAGCTACTGTCTTTTGCAAGTTTGGGGACCCTTTCAAAATTTAACTTTCCATGCAGAACAATAACCTACCTACAAAGGTATAATGATGAAAATCCAGTAAGCAAATCTGTAGTTTGACTGCAGCTTGGGTTGTGGGGTGTCATGTATCTGTCCAGAATCAGATGAGACTGCTTTATTCACAGTGCTGAGCTGAACCTCACCGTCAATAAACACACCCCTTTCTTTGGCTCTGCTCTGTCTGCCTGAAATCTGAAATGCCTCTTCCTATGTGTAACCTCTAGGACTTGTTTCAGGCTGTTCAGCTGAACTGGATCCCTGAACTTCAGGGTTGGTCTCAACTTCTGAGAGCAGAAATGCAATCTTCTTTTGTGGTGGAATGATTTTGTGTAATGATTTGTCAGCTGCACAGCTGCTCCCTGCCCCCACAATTGCATTGACCAGTTAGCTGTTTCCTGGGCTATGGATTTTCCCCTAAGTTCTGCAGAGTGCCCATCATGCTGTGGACACTAAGTCCATGTTGGTTAAGTCGAAGGGATAGCAGTCTCTGTCTAAACCCAAGGGCATTAGTTGACCAGCACTGGACCCTGTCGCTGCTCACCAGCCTGGTGTGGGTTGGTGCTCCCTGTAAAGGAGAAATGGGAGTCTGTGGCCCTGTGTTGCCACAGGAACTTTGTTGCCACTTTGTGGCAGCACCTCAGTAGGGGAGCAGGTTTGCAAGGCAAGGCTCTGCTGCTTGAAAGTTCTTGTGCAATTTGCTGAAATCATATAGGATAGTAAAAGCTGCTCATGCGACAATGGTATGAGGAATAGGGTCTGGAGGGTGGGATAGGAATGGAGGACAAAGTTTTACAAGGGAAGGGGACATCGGCAAAATACGATGTTATCACAGGCAGAGTTGTCCCAAGACCGCCCCGGGGACAGTCACATAATCAGGTTAGCAGCTGCCTAGCGTCCCCGGACCTGCCTCCTGATTCGGGCTATCCTCCGTAGGTGGTCAAGGACTGCTCTGCTGTGGTTTGTAGATAGCAAATAGGTCGCAGTTGCCCGGAGTGGCCGGCTCATAGGAACCCACAGTCGTGTTCTCTAGGGCGGTCTGATGGAATGTGCCATTATACAAAGGGCACCATAGACCAGAGCAGTCCTTCCCGCGTGGATGTTCTTTGACGCTGTTGGTGACATCTGTCCCTCCCTCCATCCTCTCCTTTATCGGTAACAGCCCATCTTTTTCTGTGTCTACCATATGTTCTTTGCCCACTCCGGCCTAGACTCTCAACACGTTTGCGTCTGGACTGCTGCAGTCGTCTTTCATGTCAGACCCTTACATCTCACCTGTCCTGAATGCCAGCCCCTCCACTATCCCCCTAAATCCCGGGGACACCAAGACCAGTCCAGCTGGAAGCCCTCATTGAGTTCTGTGGCCCTACGGTCCCTGTGGGAGAACATCCGGACTCCTGATCGCCTTCCCTGGTCCCACCTTAGCTTGAACTCACTGGTGTCCTTTCATTTCATCGTTGACCTTTGTTGCCTGAATTGCCTTGTAATTGAGGAGGGACATCAACTCTTCGCTACAGTAATTTCGTTGTCTAAATCTAAAGCGAGGTGCTTTTTCTCCTTTCTGCTGTCAAGTTAATTAATTGCCAGGAATCGTTTTTGGGAACTGTGAGCTGATCAAACAAAGAAACAATAAAGTTCCTTTGGCACAATATTGAACGATTACCTGGGAACTAACCAGGTGCATCATACCGTTCCTGGCTTTTTGGCCTCCCTCTGTGGGAAAAGGCTGACGCTTTGTCTTGGTCTGAATATCTCAATCTCTCTCCTGCTACGGCCTCATTAGCCACAGTAGCTGTCCAGTAGTTTGACGCATGAGGTCGCTTGGGTCTAAGGCAGGTTTGCTTTACAAAAGAGGGAACTTATGTTATTAGTGGCTTTAACAAAAATCAGTATATTTTATTTCATTCTTACATTTATGCTGCTAAACTTTATTTCTTTCTCAAATTTAGATTGCCCTAGCCCCACCTTAGACACCTCAAAGGACTCTAAATCAGGTAAGGTTCATGATTTCTATTGATAAATGCCCAAAATAAAATTTTGGTGAAGTAACCAATTCATGTCAAGAGACAATATAGTTCCATTTCTGTTTAATTTCATACAGTTTGTGTGAAAGGTAAGGACTTTCATCTTCTATTTGAAAGAATCAAATACATTTAAAGTTCTAGGATTATCTTGCTTCAAGAAATTGGTGACTTTAAAGTTTGGTGACAAAACTGTACCTCGTGAAGCTGTTACAGCAAATAGGCCATTCTGTAGATTGACTCCACTGACCTAACACAGAGTCCCCTGGGTGCCCACGTAGTGGTGGACACAGGATTAGGATCATCGTGGGAGGCTTCCTTGAGAAGTGATGGTAAAGGAACTTGGAAGGTGAATTGGGGGTAACAGAGCAGAGGCCAGGAAAGGAGCTGTCCTAGTACATGAGACTGGCAGATGTCAAGCCCTGCGGTGGGACAGCTTGCTTCAGAGGCAGAGGTGTTCTGAGGGCTGGCGTCAGTGAGGGAAAGACAGACCAGGCAGGCCCTGGTGTATTTGTAGAGACGGACAGGTCTGGAGTCCAGAAATGTGCAAATGGCCAAAGATGCTCATTACTGCTACAGGGAAATATAAATCAAAACAAGCGACCCCTTCATACTCATGGGGATGGTTACAATAAAAAAGAGGTTGGATATTGGTTTTGTAATTGGAGGTTAGAGTAGAACAGCCCTCCCCGCTGCTCCCAGCTGTGACACAGGTCCTGGACACCAGGGGCAGTGTCTGAGTGGAGATGTGAGGTTGGGGGTCCAAATGCCCAGCGAAGTTCTGCAGTGTCACTCAGCTACTCTGGTAGGGTTGGGGGAAAGGGGGGTGGCTCATCTGGGGCTGGATTTGTCAAGGAGTATGGGTGGAGCTTGTGAACTGAGGACAGAGCTGATGTGGCATGGGGGCAGGGTAGGGAGCCGCAGAGAAGGGTGGGAACCACCCCTGACGTTAGCCTCTGGGAGGGAGGAGCCTGCTGGCCAGGCTGTGGCTCTGCCTGGCTGTGGGGTCTCTGTCCAACTGTAGCCACATGGGCGTGGCTGAAGTCTGCATCTCCCCTCTCCATCCCCTACCAGTCTGCTGTACTCAGCTCAGCCCAATGCTGGGGTGAGAGAGGTACAGGGTTTCTCCCAGTGAGGAAGGCTGGCTTGATGTGCTCTCTCCTCTCCAGCATGCTGCTTTCAGATTCCTTCTGTTCTTGTCTCATCTTTACTTTTTAAGTCTACTTTGAAAAGTTTAGGCTTTTTTAGCTGAACTAAAGGGGTCAAAAGAAGGAGGGTTTTTGCTGGCACTGAAGGACAGCAGGTAGGGCAAGAGCAAGTCCCTCTGGGAGCTGTTTGCACTTGGCTCCCTGGGAGCAGAGGTTGTGCTGTCACAGCGCTCACTCGCAGTCACAGGAAGGGCCAGTGCTTCATAAGCAGGGTTGACCATTGCCTGCTGGGAATTTAGGAGTGAAAGTGTGACCTGTTAGTAAAGACAACCACCACTTAATTAAGCGCTTACAGTGTGCGAGGCCCAGGGCTTCTCACAGACATATTAAATACTCCTCACATGTGTGCTGTGGGGCAGAAAAATGATTCCACTCAGCGGGCTTGCAGGGTGGGGCAGGGAGAGAACCTGGAGTGAAGGCTCAGACAACTGTGAAGGTGAATTGAAGGGGTGGCCCCAGGATCCCTCTTTTCATGCTGGTGGGGTCTCTATAACAGTCTGTAAGCATAAAAATCAGTCATTTATCAGAAAAAAAAAAATCCCAGAAGCCTGAGTCTGCAGGTGGGGCCTAAGCCGGGGCTGGTCCAGGTACATGCATTGCGAAGAACCCAGACTCCAAGAGGGGACCCTGAGAGTATAGAGGGTCCCCAGAGGGCACTGGCTTCACATATGCCTTCACTGAGCATTGTGAGGGGGAGAAGCACACTCACCTCATTGGCAGTTGTGAGGACTAGTGTGTAAAGTACTTAAGTAAATATGTGTAGAGTAAATGAAAACTAGTAAATAAATATCAATGAGTAAATTTATGGAAACGAGTAAATAACATATAATAGTGGCTAGTAGCAGGTACTATGACTTTTCTCCTTATTTTCAAACCTTTTCTCTCCTCCATGTAACTCTTTCTAGTCTTTGGTTCTGGTTTCATAGGGAGTGGGCCATTTGAGAGCAGGACAGTAGCTTTCCCTGTTTAGTCACTGAACCTCAGTCTGAGTGGGGGCTGAGAAAACAGATTTTGCAGATTTGGGAAAACAAGGAAAGATGGGAATGAGAGTGAGGGGTGGGCCTGGCTGGTGGATTGCGTGTGGGGTGTTTTGTGGTCAGCCGGGGTGATCTGGGTATCCCAGGAGTGTAATAGGTTACAGACACATGGGAGTGGGTGGATGACCTCGTACAGCTCTCCAGGTGGGAAGAGGGCAGGGTGCAGAAAGTGGGATCTGGGCACTAGCAGTGGGGGTGAGGTGGAGGGGAGGCAGGAGGCAAGTGGGGGCACCCAAGGAGCTAGGAGAACCAGCCAGACACCACAAGAGGGTGGGCTGTGCAGCCAGGAGGGAGCAGTGGGGCTCTCCCTGTGGGAACCATGGTGCAGACTTCAGCAGGGTTTCGATCTGGCTGCTGGAATGGAAGTTGGATCACAGTGGGCTGTGGTGCTGAGTTGGGTGAGGTGAGAGGGCACGTTCTTGGGGACCACCCTCTCCAGAATAGAAGAATGTGGACGTCTGTCTTATGTATCAGAGGAATGGCATCTGCACCCCAGAATTCTGCCCTGTCATGCCCATGAAGCCCCTGGATGCGGCAGGACCGGGCGGCTCTCGAAGTGGTTATGTAGCCCACGTAGCTAGGTGATCAAAGTGTGTCTGTCATCCACTTCCAAAGAAGAATTGGCTTCCTTTTAGCCACTTCAGACAAGTGGTGGGCTCAGTGGGAGTGCATGGAAGGAGCTGGTAGCTGAGTTGGCTCTGGTGTACGCGTTTTGATTTCTGATCACTTGTGTGCTTGTGCAGGAGAGGACAGTACTTCTGAGAGCAGCTCTGAGAGCGAATCTGGTAAGTGAGCATTTAATGGTAGAATTCCAGTTAAACACACAGACCTTTGTTTTTATTTTAAAATAATGAGTCTGTATAATTCATGCTCTGGGACATGAATTATACTAGCATGGCTTTGTAGTGCTGAAAAGTACTTACATGGTAAGACATTTCTGGTTGGCAAGCAAAGTGGCATAACAGGATGGGCTGAAGAGACACAGGAAATGGTTGCCGTTGGTGAAAGGCAAACATTTCACCTCTTTTGTCTGCTTCCCCTTAGTGGTCATATGAATCTGATTTAGACTCTTTTTATTTTTTTTTTATGTAGATAATGAGGAGCCAAAATCAGAAAAAACAAGTGAGTATATCCTTTCTCTGAATTTTCCTTTTCTGTTGTTAAAAAGAAGGTGCCTGGTAGCCTTTATGATTTTTCAAGTGGCAAGGTACTTATTCATTGTCTTCTCCTGTACAAAATTAAATGTCACAAAACTAAGCATTTTGGAAACCCGCGCTCAGCACACTGGGGGCACGGGGGCCGTGATGTGTGACTGCACCTGCGGTCTGCATGTCCAGTCCCCCGGGAGGCGAGAGGGGAAGTCTGATGGAGCCTGCATGTTGTGCTGCTCACAGATTACCACCCCGTGCGCTTTTGCTGCTGAAATGTACCATTTTCACTTGAAAGTTCCTGGCTTCCTGTTCTGGTTATTTGCAAAGAACTTGAGTATGAAACCAACTTAAAGATGGATTTTTTTTAATGTGTTGAATTGGTGAGATGTGGGATTCCATTCCAATTTTGTTTGTAAAGATTTTTTTTTATTTACTTATGCATATAAGAACTGGAGTCCAGGCCAGAGGTATGGAGGATGAGAGGGTTCGCCAAAGACAGAGTGGGGAGCAGAACAGGCAGATCTACTGAAATACACTGCTGAGGGGAAGCCACAGGCTGGCCAGGAGAGGTCTGCTGCACAATGGTAGTCACCTCCCTGGCCAGGGATCAAACTTGTGATGCAGTGGCTGCTGAAAGCCTCACAGTGCTGTGCTTTTAACCACTTGAGCCACCAGGGAGGCCCTAAGGACAGGTTCTAAGTATAAAATGTGGGTGACTAAGCTTAATTTTAAAATATTTTATTTTAGTGTAGAACCCTCTGCGCCCCTACACCCCGATTCTCATACTGTGATCCGCTCACCATCATGAACCTCACAGTGCGACATAAGCAAGGGCCTCAGGAATCCTTCAGTGTAATCCCTACCCTCACCTGTCCATTCACATTTACTCGATTCTCTCTGCGGTTCCCCTGTGGGGCACCTATGGAGATGACTGGGAGCTCCTGGAGTCATACTGTGTGTGGACAGTAACCTGTGGTTACCTCGATGTCGCTGTCTCGGAGTTTCTGATGCCCATAAGGAAAAAACGTGTACCACTCCCAGTCCTCTTCATACATCATGGGTTAGTTCATCCTTGAAAATTTCCCAAGTGCAGACTCCACACATTGAATGAAAAGGGAAATGAAATTAGAAAGCTGGGTATTAGGATCAGGTCTTTGTTGCTCCTGGCTAATAATGCGGTAGACTCCCTAAGGACACAGTACAGAGTCAGCACCGGCCAGGGTCTCTCCAGAGCAGGCTGTCCCAGTGGAAGGCGTTTGGGGTCCTCGAGGTCACACTTGGGTAGGAGCCTGGGCTCAGATAGGGCATTTGTGGGGCAGGGAGCGGCTGGCCCCAGGGCTTGGCTGAATCGGCCATGTGTTCCTTGGCAGTGGAAGTGCCCCGGGCCTGCAGCGGGTAGGCTAGTGCTTGCCCCTGGACCCAGATCCATCCCAGCGGCCTTGACTAGCTTCCCGCCCTCTGCCCCATCTCTGTGCTGCAAGGCCTGTTGTCCTCCACATCTGGGGAAGCCAGGAGAGGCACCCTGCTGTTGCCTCCACTTCTCCACTTTCACAACAGATGGAATGGCCAGGTCAGCTGCCCTGGGATGCACCTTTGTGGGCTGGCTGTCCAGTATGTGTTCTGCTCTGAGGTCACTTGCCTCATGCATTGAAGAGAAGTTGTGGTCTATAGATTGGGGAGTGCTGCAATAGCTGGGGGTCCTGGGAAACTGCTACCTGTGCTGGCCAGTTAGGATTCTGTAAGCTCAGTCCCTTTTTCTGCTCCCTAGGCATAGAGCAAGACAAAGCAAATGGGCAAAATGCTATATAGCTGTGCAGCCATATGTATTGTATCATTTAGAATTTTATGACCCTTTGTCGGACAGAGCTGAGGCAACATGATTGGAGGGATTGTATGTAGAGGACTTGGGTTGGTATTTCAGAATCTTCAGATCTATATATTCTGAGACCAGAGCTCTGAACACTTTTAGTCTTTATTTGCCATTTCACCTTAATGCTGTTTTTTTAAAGCTGGCTCTCGTTGCCTCCCTGGGTGCCAGACTCAGCCCAAGTGTCTGAGATCAGGCAGTCTTAGTCTAACCCCTGCTTATATGGAGAAGGATGTGAGAGATCAGTAGACAGCCAGCGATCATGCAGCTGATGGCAACTGTGGGTAACAGAAAAATCTGTCTCTGCTCCCTTTCACAATACATTAGGCTCCTTGGAGTATTCTTCCCAGGCCCGAGGGATCGAGCCCTTACGATGCTTGAGTTTGGTGGGAGAGACAGGTGCAGGCATGCTGAAGTGAGTGCTGAGCCAGATGGGGTGGGGGCTGTGTAGGGAAAGTGAGCCCTGCCATAGGGGGGCCCTGCCCTAGGGGTGACAGGAAATCTCCCAGCAAAGGTGGCATTTGAGCAACAACAAGCCTGTGCTGAGCAAGCAGCAGGATTGCTTATGGGAGTAATGGGCAGGACAGAGGCCCCAAGTGCTGTGCTCTGGTATCAGATGTAGCATGCTGTGGTGTTTGGAAATGGAAGCTGGTAGGGGGAAAAGGGATGGGGCTACCTTCTAGGGCCTGGAGCCACATTTAGGGAGTCTGCTTGCTAAGACAGAGCCTCGTACAGCTGTCCTAGCTTAAAGGTGCATAAAGCCAGATGTTGTTCCTGTTTTGTTTCCAAGTTAATCTCAAACTCTGCTCATTGGGGGGTGATCTAGCGAGCACCATCCTGGAAAATGAATGACTCAGGCTCCGGGTGACTCTTGGGCTGAGATGCCAGTGCCCTGGGCCACAGCTCTTCAGTCGCATTGCCCCGGGGTGAAAATAACTAATGATAGATAGGGTTGGTGGTGATCTTGGTGATCACCTGCAGCCTGACTCTTCTTTTCATCACAGATGGGGAACTAGGAGAGTCTTCTACGGAGGAAGCATCGACTCAGGGTAAGACTGAGGCCGTGTACCTTGCTTCCTCTGCCATGTGAAAGATCAGATAAAGATGGATGTGCTGAATGAGTGATTTGAAACCTTAGAGTCACCTTCAGATTTAGCTTTGTGCGGACATGAGGACTACCACTGAATGCAATCTGCTGGCTGTGAGGTGGAGGGATGCTTAAGTAGGGCTGAGCTTTCCCTGGGGCTGGCTGTGCCCACCTGACCTGGCTGTCTTTCTCAGCTGAAGAGTGGGCGGAGAAAGAATTGCCTGTGGATCGCTTAAGCTCAGGTATGAACTTACCTTCCCCAAAGTGCTCTTTGAAGTGTCATTATTTCTGGGGGGCATGTTCCTCTGCCTTTTGTCAGCTGGGCATGCAGCTCACATGAAAGATTTCATCTGAAAATGCCAATTACATGCACATAAAAGTAAAACTTTTTTTTCTCTCAATTAGAATTTACTAAAATCCAACCTCACTGTGCACATTGTAATGTCGATGGTGTAAGTATCTTTTAATTATAAAATGTGATTTTCTGGTTTGTGTTATTTAAGAAAACATTTCCTAGTATAGTATTTACAGATACATCTGTACTTTTTTCCCAACAGAAACACAGTGAACCAGTGACCCCCAGACTCCTTTCCCGGGGACAGTTTCTGTAAGTAATTGTGAATGTGGAAGACTCCATGTCGTCACGAATTTAATTTTTCTATGAAAAATTACCCCAAGTAGGAAAAACACAGAACAGCATAACTAACTTCACTCATTTTGTATGACTAAGTGGGTGGTTTTCTTTGGCAATGATGTCTTCTTCAAAAACGGTGTAGACTTCCCTTGCTGTTTTTGAATGACATTAAAAACGTTGACGTATCGTAAAAGACCCCCTTCTAACCAAATGTCAGTACTAAACCAGTGTTCTTGTCTGACCAATGCAGACTGAAGGTGGACGCAGAGGGAATTTACCAGTGCACGGAAACTGGTCTGATATTTGAGGTTAACAGAAAAGTCGACATCAAGTATTGCGTTTTGTCCTGGAGCAAATATGCAGACCTGGTTGTTAGGCCCTGGCTCGTTGGTGGGCCCCTGTTTGACGTTAAATGTGACCCCGCCTGTCTTACCTCCATTCAGTTTCCACATTCCCTCTGCTTGGGTCGTAAGTACTTGTTTGCTCAACGTCTCTTTGGTGTGTGCATGTGGAGAGTGTGTGGCTCACGCCTGCGGGAGCACTGATCCTCCTTCGTGTTTTCACAGACCGCGGCTCCGATATGTTGTTCAAGGTCTTCCATGTGAAAAGCTCTGGAGCCTCATTGGAATACACTGTGGAGCATTCTGCCACCCACGTGAAGTGGCACGTGAGCTCGCTCTCTCCCGTGGGCCCCGTCATTCAGAGTGAAGAAGCGGTGCATCACCATGGGGCTGTGATTCTGTACAAAGCCATAGATCCTGACCCGTCCTTATCCTTCCGTGTCTACGTAGCCACCAACAACGAGTCCTTCATCAAGGTAAACCCCACGAAGATGAGTAACAAACGCTGGATACTTGGCAGTTAAACACTCCACCACACTGAGGTGGGCGCTAGCTTTGCTGAACGTGCCCTCCAGAGTGGGTCTGTTTTGACACTCACCTACAGAGGTCATAAAGTCAGCGCCTGGGCATGTGCCAGTCTTCAAATCCATGGAGTGTGGTGCTTCCGTTTGACAGCAGACGGCGGGTGTCCAGTGGGGGACAGGCCCAGGGGAGTGGCCTGGCTTAGGAGAGGCCACCTGATGCACTGCCTGAAACAGCTGCATAATGTGCTGTGAGAAGGAGGAGGGAACCCAGAACACTGGCATCAGTTGGGAGCTTGTTAATTTGCATATTCTCAAACCCCTGACCCCAGAATAGAGCTGGAGGCTGGGAACCCCCGCTCTGGAAACTGGGACCACTTGAGGTCATGCAGGTTCTCCCTGGCCCCAAGGTTAAGAGGAACCCACCAGGTGAATTCATTGCAGAGACATTTTTTTGGGTAAAAATTCACCTGAGGTTTTTGGGTTCAGCATTCTGGTTTTATAGAGGCAAATGTTCCTAAAGGATCCTTAAGGCAGCAAGACTGAGGGGAGGGAGTTTGGGTGTTTGTAGTGGAGCCAGATTCCAGAATTCAGAATGAGGCTTGTCGAGCCCCTTTTCTGAACTCTCAAGTAAGTCAGAGCAGCTAATGGAATCTCCTTTCGCACCTTTAGCTGTTGTCGGTACAGGTGTAACAGGTAGAAGGGGTGGAGCGCTGAAATAAACAAAGTAGGCAAGTGACACAGTGACTCACATCAGGGCTTGACAGAGGTCAAAAAATAAATGTTAGCGCTATAGTAAACTATACTGAGTAATGAGCTACTCCCAATATTTTTAGCTTGTGGTAGCTTTAAAAATAAGTTGTCCTGATTATACTTAACAATATATGCTAATCTTAAAAGCCTTTGTCAAGGGCCCTGCCTGGTGGCGCAGTGGGTTAAAGCACAGCACTAAGAAGCCAAAGCCACTTCAGCATGAGTTAGATCTCTGCCCTGGAGGTGACTCACATGGTGCAGCAGACCTCTCCTGACCCATCCGCTGCTCCCCTCAGCAGTGTACTTCGTTGATCTGCCTGTTCTGCTCCCCACTCTGTCTCTGGTGAATCCTTTCACCCTCCGCATCTCTGGCCTGTACCCCAGTTCTGTATGCATAAATAAATAAATCTTAAAGAAAACAAAAACCCTTTATCAAGTAATAGGTTTTTAGTTTTTTCCTAAGATAAAATGCTTCCTATATTCTCATTAGAGATAATTCTTTCAATTGGGAAACTAGTCTTCAAAATGGTCTAAAAAAATCCCATCTGAGTTATATTTATTTAGTATGGATTTGGAATAAGTACTATTATTTAATGAATGCTATATATATATGTATATATATATATTTAAATTATTATGCTTACAGAACTGGGGTACAGGCCAGAGGTGTAGGGGTGGTGAGAGGATTCACCAGAGACAAAGTGGGAAGCAGAACAGGCAGATCGACGAAGTCCACTGCTGAGGGGAGCAGTGGGCAGGTCAGGAGCGGTCTGCCATGCCATGTGGTCACCTCTGGGTCGGGGATCGAACTCGCACTGAAGTAGCCATGGCCAGCTTTGCAGTGCTGCGCTCCAACCTGCTGCGCCACCAGGGAGGGTCTGATGCTTTATTTTTATACCTCTCGTCTTGGGTTGATTTTTTTCCCTATATGGGAAAAGATTTCCATGAGCTCTACCCTCAGGAAACCTCAATCTCTTGTTCAGCCGTGTAGCTGCTTAACCAAATGACTGTGGGCCCATGGTTACATTAGTCTTTTGGGGCATTCAAACAGTGCACATAAAATCAGTGTCCCCTGTCGGGCTGTGCCGAAGGGACCATTGTGAAATGGTGTGGAAACACGGCAAGGAGCTGCTCTCTGTCCTCATGAGGCCGCGCAGCCCACATGGTGCACAGTGCTGGTTCAGTTTTCTCGCTCATCCAGATGTTGATGCTGTACAGGGTCTGGCCTTGCTGCTGTCTGTCGGGCTTTTGTGGTGGTGCTTGGAGGTCAGGAGCCTGATGTGTGCAGCCAGGTGCCTCGGCCCTGTGGTTTCGTGTTGAGGACACTGAGCCATTCCTTGCCGACATGTTGGGGAGGAGAAGGGGGTGCTGCAGCTGCCACACTGCTTGGACTCACGTTCTCAGTCAGTGCTGATGAATTTCAAAACCGAAACCTGTTTCTGCCTTTAGGATATTTCCAAGTCTGTGAAGCACTCCTCTAAGAAGTTCATGAAAATTGACAAGCCTCCTGTTTGCCAGAAGTTACTGCAGAATGGGAAGAAATACAAACTGATCAGTAAACCAGAAGCTGAAATCACCCCTGAGGTACAGAAAGCCCCTCAGAGTAGCAGTGGGACAGGATACTTCTTGGTTCTCATTTTTTCTCTTTCTTTATAAGAAAGTAATAGTTTTGCTAAACTTGTAGCTTATTTCCAAGATGCTGTTGAATGTCAAGATTAGCCTGTGACCGTTGCAAAAATAATATCCCCCTTAAAAAGTTAATTTTTTGACTTCTAATAACATTTTTCAGTGTTAGCCTCAAAGGAATGAAAATTTTAAGTTTAACTTTGAGTTGTGCAGAGCACTGAAGGTTAACAAAACGGAATTGCTAATGAAGGATCTTGG